GAAGATTCCTCTATTAGCACTTTAACCGCCAAAGGCTTGTTCTGCAGCCACCGTCCCACAGCTGACCTGGGATTTCTGTTGCTGGTCCGCTTCAGTTAGAGCCCCAATGTCACGTTTACGGGTGACGATATATTGGAAGGCCTGTCCGATGTAGGCACCGTCTCCCAGCAATTTTTTGTCGTCCGTGTTCTCTTATTTTTCATAGAACTTTCATGCTGACACTAGAACCCAGGTCCGGTGATGTGTGGTGTTAAAGTTCTGACTGGCTTATCACTATGTGAGTACTGATCTGCATCAGAACCATTGATTGTTGATAGCTTCCATGTAGCAATGGTGGCTAAATATGTTAGTTTATGTAGTCAGAGACCATTTCTCTTAGACCATCTTCACAATCTGTGAATCATTTAGGTAGTGGCCTGCATGTACTATCCTACTTAAAGTTTAAAAGCTGAATCATGCATCCCAGGCTGAAACAGATAGATATGAAGCATAAAGTAATGCAGCATCACCCCTCCCCCATCTGTTGCTGGGAACTGACAGTCCCATACTGACAGTTTGGCCGAAAGAAGGTTTCTGATGTCATATTTGTAGGTTCTGAGTTGGGCCAAAGTGCAGACAGGAACTAAGGATAAGCATGGTGAAGGATTTAATAATACAACAGAAAACCTGCAGTTCTTGACAAGGGCAAACAGGACATGGATCACAGGCAGGGAAACAGTGTAAGGACCTGGAGAATCCAGCAAGGAACAATGAAAAACCAGGAGCTTAAATACGGAAGCAAGAACCTTCATACTGACCCATTCCTGATCCTGTCTCTATCTCTACTCTACAAAAGATGGACCTGGAGTTGCAGGGATTCCAGGAATATTAATTTATTTGTTTTTATTAATTTGAGGAAAACCTTTTCAGTAAACAGGACTGTATTCAGGAAAGAAGGAAAAAAAGGCTGCTTCAGAAACTAAACCTTTCAGATTTGAGAAGATTTTTGCATATTTATGAAATGTTCAAATTTAATCAGCAACAATGTACACCTCTATTTTTGTCCAGCAGAGGGGAGCCATGTCTTACCTGAGAGTTACATAAATCATGTGTAAAATTCTCCAATTCATCTTCTTTTACTTCTTCTTCCCTGTTCTGAAGTATGGCCTTCATCTCCACGCACATAGAAACATCCAACATGTCCATCTTTCTGTTTTTTTGGCTCCATATTTGGCTCCATATTTTCTGAGTTTCTTGACAACAAGAGGAACAGCATGGCTTCAATTTATGTCAGGATGTTAACTTTCTGTCTTTCTCAAATAAATTTATTAGCAACTGAGTTTCCACCTTATGGCTTTTTATCTGTTAAAAGTTGATCTATAATGTCGACAATGATAATGGTGATCTCAGCATATCTGGTTAATGCAACCAGCCTCATACTGTTGGCAGATCCTCATGTTGAAAGCTCAGGTGGACATATGTAAGTTTTACAGATCTGAATACAGTTTTTACCACTTATAGTAATAATAATTGTTGACAGACAAGCATACTAAATGCTGTAAGTCTCTTTAGCATGTTTATATGTAAGTTGGAGGCAGCTGTTTAAAGAAGAAAGCTAAATCTAATTAAAATGCTGCAGGTATGTAGAGATGACTACTGAGAAAAGCTTTTTTTTATAAAGACCGAGTCCAAAATTATTCAGTTGTGTTTTTCTGCTTCTTTAGAAAATATTTTTAAGACTGAAACTGAAAGAAAAAATGCATTCCTTTTGAATGTGTAATTATTTAAAGTGAAAATTTGCTGAGTGCTGTGATGTGTGTCTAAATCAAACAGCCTGCTGTTGCAGAGCAGCCTTTCTTTAAAACAGCATAAGTTATTTAGAATGCTACTTGGTGTACCGAATAATATCAGATCCTAGGATTACATTTAACCGATGGATGGTATAACTGTAAACTGTGAAACCCATTGCTGTAAACTTAACCACACTGACTTTACAATGTTTGGTGTAATTATCTTCTAATTGACTGGAGACATGAGATCAGGGTACTGTTGCTCTTCCAAGTTACAGCTAACCTTCAGTTATCTCACCGTTGAATCTAGAAAACGTAGCTAGACGTTCACTGCTGACTCAGAGACTCCAAGATCTCTGTAAGAGCCCAGGCTTCCTCTTTAAAAAGTCCAAACTTGTTGGGCCGTCCACTCCTGGAATGGTTGGAAACACCTCTGAATGTTTCTGTGAATATTCTTTCTCACTCTCAGTGATGATGATGGAATCTAAACAGACTGGGAATCGTCTCATAACTCTGGCAAAAATAATGAGCAGCAGTAATTCAGTTTCTAAGATAATTTTTGATGTTTTCTGGTATTATGTCAATAAGCTAGAGCTGCTATTTTTACAACCTTAGACCTCAATAGCAGCAGCTGTTGAGTCCAAATGGAGCTGGGAAATAGCAGTTTACCTCTGTCCCCTGTTTCGTTGTCCGATGAGCTAGCCCCTCCCTCCTACTTCCTTATGTCTAAGGGGATTGCTCAATCCAGCTCTCCATCCAACGGGTTCCGACTTCCCTAAACCTGAAAAGTCTTACTAAGCAGGTTCACTGAAAGTTCTGTTTAAGCTGGTGTCGGGAAATGACTCGCCTAGCCTCTGACAGCCTACATCCAGAAGTCTCGCCCTTCTTCAACCGGAGGTCTGGACGACTGAGTAGCCAACCGCAGTCATTCACAGTCCGACAGTCACTCCTGTTAACGGCTGCTCATTCCCTAATATTACAACTGGCTCTTGGTATATGGGCTAGGTTAGTTTTAGTGACTCGGCACGAGCCCCAAGGGCGTTGTTTTAACAAACTTGGCTAAGGCAACCTATAAAAACCTCCTAAAATTTCTTAGAACCAGGCAACAAGACTTTTTACCACCAATGAAAAACCAAAAATACGGTGACTCAAATAATTGAATGTCCACGATTTAACTAGAATTTTATATGCTTTCTTTAATTAGTAACACTTTTGCAGGGGTCAGTAACAGCTTAACTTCAGCAACACAACAAATTCAATAATAGAAATAAATCAATCACCTCAACCTGTCTTTCCCTGATGCTGAAACTAGTGAGTTTGGAGAAGCTTTGAAGACGGAGGCTCGTCCATGCACCCGATGGAGATGTTTCTTCGGGTAACAACGAGTGGTTTCTTGAGGGGAATACGACTTAATCTTCAGTTTTCTTCCTTTAAGTGGCAGGCACTGATGCTCCAGGCTTCGATGGTTAAACAGAAACTTTGTTGTCATATGTTTCAGGAAACAATAGCTTCCAGAGGCTGAAGAGTTCACTTCTGTTGTCTGGATATAAAGGCTGTAGATGAAATCAGATTCTTAATCTTAAGGCACAGTCCTTCTTGGGCACACAGGTTGATCCTCTTTTTAATGCAGTCGATCAGCTGGGCTGTGTCTCTGTTCCTTTTCCATCTGAGCTTCTTTTCTCCGTCCGATCTTGTTCACTGGTCTTCTGCGAGGAAGCATCCCAGTTCCTTCCTTCAGCTTTGTCCTTATAGTGCTTGATGCTTTTACCAGTCAGCTCCTTATTAGGCTTTCCAGTTATTGCTCAATCTATTCAGCTCAACTTCTTGGTTGTTGCACAATACTATAGTCATGGTCATTGTGACCTACTGGTTCCTGCTTTTCGGCCTTGGAGATGTCGGTAATAGCCACGCAGCTTGCAGCTTGCTGTAGTCGCATCCTCCCTTCCTCCCGTGTCCTTCTCTGTCAGCATACAGCTGGCTCTTTTCACTCTTAGTCATCCTGCACTTCTCTCCCTAATCTGCTCAGTCTTAAACTTTACACAGTATCACACATTCCATTCTCTGCTTTATACATTTACTTTAAGACACAGTTATAAAATCATCACTTCATTCTTTTTATTCATCCACCACTAATAAGCAACATTATATCTTTCATATATGGTTGATTGAGAATTTTAAACCTTAATGTTTTGTATTTATTATCAGTTCTCAATCATATTTCAATCATTTGTGTTCTAACTTGAAAATCAAAGATTACTCGTTTCATTTATTACTTGTAAAAGAATGGAAAATCATCATACATCATTTCTTTGGATACACTTGTTTACAGTTCTGCAAAAGATAAGACAGTTAATATTTATCTCCACACAGGCCTCTCCAGTGTTCTTAGTTCCAGAATATGAGAACATGGCTGTTTCACCCTCCACTGCTTCAACTGTATATTTTAATAATTTTTGCATGGATTACACAGAAATATATCTATTGTAATTTTTATGGATTTGACTGTGAGTACTTCATGAATGCTGCATGGATTACATGGAAAGATCTCACCTTATTTTGACACCTGGTTTACACGATTTTAAGGTGATGCCATTTGGACTAAAAATGCTCCTGTCTCCTAGGGCTGATGGAAGTAGTTCTAGGGGACCTCAGAGGAAAAATATTTGTTGTCTATTTGGATGACATCTTAATTTATTCCTCTACAACCGAGCAGCACATATCCGACGTCCTTGGCAAACATCTGACAGTGAAAATGAAAAGGCAGCAGTTTTTTCTGTACATCACTGGCTCACATTGTCTCTTCAGCTGTAGAAGAGGCAGATGCAGGGAAAATAAAGTTTGTCCGGTAGTGTTCTGTTCCACAGAACATAAAGGAGATACAACAATGTTGTTGGAATGATTTCTCTAGGAATGCCTGGATTTCCATTGCTTTCCGAGTTCATCTGGATTCCCCAGAGTCAAGCAGTTGTCAAGAGTCTCAAAAAGAAACCATTTAGATATTTTAGGTTGTGCTGGTTTCTTGGGTTACTAAAGCCAGGACAGGACTGGATTGGGAACCCTGAACAGGTCAGTCCCTCACAGGACAACACAGAGACACAACCATGAATGAACACACTCATCCCTAAGGAGAATTTAGGATAACCAGTTAACCTAACAGTCACGTTTTTCGACTGTTAGAGGAAGGTGGAGTACACAGAGAGAACCCTTGCATGAATGGGGAGAACATGCAAACTCCACAATTGGATTTGAACCCAAGAGCTTCTTGCTCCAAAACAACAGTGCTACCAACTGCACCACCATGGATGTCCTTCACATCAGAATATCTATCTTCTATATCCTCTGGGCCAAAAAACAACCAACAGAAACATTTTTTATAAAAAGAATAAAAACAGACTGAAGTCTAATGTTATCAAAGAGACTCTGAAGCATTTTTCTGTCTAAACAGAGTTTCTCTTTGATTTTAAATATTCAGCACAAAACTTGCATTACTGAATGTTCTGAATGCGTTTATATTTCATAACAGAAACACCAGAAGACCCACATGAACTCACTGAGTGCGGCTTTGTTCTCTGTTATTCTGTCCTAATGACACTTAATGAAGCATTTTGGAAGTAGCTCACTTTTTCCTTTGATATCATCAGAAACATTTCAGTTTATGTGTTTCACTTCTGTAAAATGTCACAATTTCAGTCTTCAGTCCCTGTTATTTTAATTTAACCGTCTGCCTGAATAAAGGAAAACATGATATGAAGAGCAACACTTTCCTATTGAAGTCCATCTCAGTATCATAGATTTCTCATAATTTTAATGTCAATATCAGGGCATTAAAAACTAATCTTGGTCATCTCACTCTTTAACTCAGGCTTTGCTATAAATATTCTAATAAAATTTATGAACATAATGATTGTGTTTTAGCTTCAAAAATGAAGGAATAAAATGACTGCGAAATGTAATTTTTGTTGTTTTTGTCACATTGTGGTATTTTCTTGTTTTATGCATACTGTCTGAGAAAATGCTGGTTGGGACCCTTCTGCTGTTTATGCTGCTTTGTAATCGTCCTTTTCATTCAGCTGTGCTGTTGCTGCATAGTGACCAGGAAAATAAGCTGCATCCCAAGAGAAATCAAAAGAGGTTATGCAGAGGATGCAGAAGAAAAAGAAAGCAACAAGGGAGCGCAGATAAGTCCAGACCACAGAGACAACAGGCGGGGAAATATGGAACGAGTCTCCCTAAGAGCGTCATGAACACATCAGTTTGCTGACTGTGACTGGATTTTACTAAGTGTGGTGATTAACAAAGATTTCACTGCAGGAATTACATTAGATCCAGTTGATACCAAAGCATCAAAAGCTTTACTGAAGAGTCAGTGTGAGACATGCACAGACAGATGTGGATATGTATTCACTTGGAATCATGAATAATGAACCTAGATAAAAATAAAAGGTTTTTACATTATGTCAAACCACAAACATTGGTGTATTTTACTGGGATTTTATCAAAATACTGCATACTTGTGAAATTGAAGGAAAGTTTCACATGGTTTTTTTAAACATGTTTCACCAATGAAATTTGCAGAAAGTGCATTTATTCCCACCCTGCTCAGATACTCCCATAATAAAACCCATGGCAACTGCGTTCAAAAGTCACCTAATCAGTAGAGTCCAGCCTTGTGTAATATTTTTTGACTCTGCTTTTCTTTTTTAAAAATATTTTTCTTTAATTAAAACTAGCATATGCACTTTTTTCCATCTTATAATGAAAACAAGTCATTATTCCCTTTTGTCTTTGAAGTCTTGCTCAAACATCAAGCCTCCACCAGTTCCTGTACCTAGAACCTAAATGATCACAGACTCAAGAAAGTGACATTTCTGATCATAAAACCTGCAGTAAGACCTGTTTGACAGCACCACCAAGCCTCTGCTTTGTTCTCGTTAGCTGTTGCTGTTGCCAGCTGGAAATAACACCCACACCACACTTAAAGCTGCCTCTGCTTTCTGCGGCATTGCTGTGCCACTGAGACTCTCATATCTCTTAATGCATTCCCCTAAATGCATGTGACCGCAGTTATTAAAGCTGATGTGTTTGGTTGTGCTGCTGCTGCTTTTTAACTGGAGGCTTCATTTAGGCTGGTATATCTTTGTATGGAACCCAGAACTTGCACTTTGTGCACATGAAGGAAAGACAATCTCGACCTGGTACCTCAGACATGAGATGAGAGGTGGAAGGAAATTATTAAACTATTTAGACAGAGGGAAATGTTTTAATGTTAACTGATAAAGTGAAGTAAATGAATGTATGCTGTGTGGGTGGCGGATAATCAGAAGAAACAGGTTCTGTTTCATTTGAGAAACAAAGGAGCCAAAGGAGACCTTTTGGATATTGCACCTCCTTATTTAACAGAGCTTGTTGTTCTGCTGTGAGGAATCTTGAAGGGCTTTTGATAACTCGTTTAAATGTGATAAACAGGTCAGTGCAGTACTCCAGTCTATCCAGTCTGTTAATCAGCAAAATCAAACCATATTTACCTTCTAGTGGCCTACTGGACTACTGCAACTCTCTTAATGCAGAGTTGGACAACTCCCTTCTAAGTCGCCTGCAGCTGCTCCAAAACTCTGCTGCCCGAATGCTGACGGGTAAAAAGCAACGTAAGAACATTAATCCCAAATTATCCTCCCTGTACTGGTTGCCTGTACGTTTTAGGATTGATTTTAAGACTTTGGTTTTTAAATGATTAAACAGTCAGGCATCTCCTTATCTAACAGAGCTTCTGCACAAGCACATTCCAAGGAGAAGTTTGAGGTCAGAACTTCTGCTGCTTTTACATGTGTCTAGGACTCGTCTTGTGACCCGAGGAGACAGAACCTTTTCTGTTGTTGCTCCCAAACTCTGGAACAATCTTGCTGTAAGGACGGCCGATACCTTTAATGCTTTTAAGTTCCTTTTCAAACCCTTCTTTTTAACTTGGCTTTAAATTCTAGTTGAGCAGAGATATCAGGCTGTTTTTAATTATTACTCTTTTATTTTCACTTACATACTGTTTTTATTATATTTAGCTGTTCCTTTCTCCTTGGTTATTTGTAGTTTTATTATTTTATTTATAAGTTATAAGTTTATTTATAAACTTATTTCTATTATTTCTGGCATCAGAGTACGCCTTGCTCTCTAGATGATTAACATCTACACTAATTCAGCCAGTCAACTGCGGTTATCTAACCACAGAAGCTGTAGGGTGTCAATAGATACTCAGCATACAATGTTCTCAAATCTAAATTATATGAAAAATTATTGGAAAAATTTACATTACAAAAATAACATGGCCGGGTCCCAACAACACAGTTTCACTCATTGAACAAAAGATATCAATAAATAAGTATTTTTAGCTGAGAAAGAAGCTAGGACTCCCTTTCCTCTAGTATTAATTATGTCCTTTTAAAGGGGAAGGAAATACACTTCTTTAGCCCTTAAATACATTTTGTAGTGTATTTGGAGTCTGATGGAGTGCTAAAAAGTTGAATTTAGTCTCTCCAGGTGCTGCAGAGATATTGCTATATTTTGTTTGGGTCATATTTTTCAGTTTGTTCAGTTTTCTCTATCATCTGTTACATTTTACCAACCCTTGTCACAGTATTAGCTGCTGAACAGCTAAACCAGGTCATGGGCTTCCAGCTGACCAATTCGCGCATCCGCCATTTTTATTTCTCTCTGCAATTTTGTAGTCCAAGCTTAAGTATGCCAAAGTTAGAAGTTGATAAGTCTAAATGTTCAGTGGGTGTACAATTCATTACACTGACCCCCAGTATCAGAACCTCTTCAAAGTGTTTGGCTACATTTTAGTTTCATGGAAATGTTCCCACATCATTGCGGAAATTCTTCATCTACATAAAGCTCTTCTTCATCCATCACCTCCAGTATCAAGAAGGATTTGCTGAAAGATTTCATCTGATTAAGGGGTCAGTTCCTTCTGTCTATGGAAACGACGGATGCAGCAAAGGAGTAAGCTGCAAATAAAGCTAAAATGACAACAAACTTTATTTTAGACATGAATTTATTGTGTTGATATGATGTCCTGGCCATTGTTCTGATAGCAGTAGCATCGGGTCTTCTGCTGATGTGCTGCATTTAGCTCCTGGAGGACAGAACCGTACTGCATGATTTTGTATAATTATTACATTAACAGGTTTCATTGTTTTTGCAGTTTTTGTCCTGTTTCTGCTAGATAATTGTATCTCTGTTATCCCATTTGGATAACCTATTTGGCCAAAAATGGCCAAACGGGTTAAAGTGCAGCGTTCTTTGACCTGGAGGGGGCGGGGTATGAAGGGCCTCAGCTGCATTTAAAGAGATGGCACCAAAACGAGTTGCTCTCAGACGTTCCTCAGAACAGGTAAAAGAGGAGCCTGTAGAGCTACAAGAACAAGGAGTTCAGACCAAAGCATTGAGCTTCCACTTTATATAGACCACAACTAAATGATTTTAAGCAACTCAAAAATTATATTGCTAAAAGATTAAAGAAGATTACAACAAAAAACCCAACAAATCTTAACCAGGTGGTCGGACTTGTCTGTAGACCTGATCGGCTGCAGCTTCCTGTTTCTGTGTGTTGCTGCTCAGTCAGTCAGGGTCTGTCTCTCCTCTCTTTAACTGTTTACTTTTCACAGGGAGAGAAATCTTAACTGATCAGAATATCACCTTCTGGAACCAGACCTTTTAGATTTATCAAGCACTGAGATATTCACTGCAAAAGAAAATGAAAAAGATGAAAACATCTTAGTTCATAATTTCTGTTTTTGTTGATTTATAAAATAAAATGTTTAGAATAATCCTTCCTAGTTCTTGTTATTATTCTTTATCAAATGCCCTGATCTGTGTGAAAATGTGACAGCCATTTTGAAATGCCACTTTGGATGTTATGCTTTTAAAATGCTGCTTCTACTTTTGAATTCATCTCCACAGACGCTGCATAATTCTCTTTCTCTTTGTTAGGAGGTAAACTGGGGAAAATCTTTCAGCGCCGAGCCTTCATTTGTCTGTAATAGTTATTAAATTTTGTAAGTTTTTGTCACCGAACAGAAGGCTTTGAAGTCGTCACAGTGGACTCTGTGTTTAATCTTCTTCAATGCGCTGCTGTCCATGCCTGTCACTTCTTGCTAACCATGACAATCAGTAGATATTGTAAGAATTTACCTGCATGGGAATGTTGGAGGAGGGGGGTTTGTGCACAGAGTGAGCTGGCAGCAAATCTCTCACGGAGGACTGTAAATCTGTCAGCTTGTGTTTGTTAAACAGCCAAGAGAAGCTGCTGG